ACTAAAAGGCAACAGTAGCAGTTCAGATCTTGTAAAAACTGATAAATCTAGTAGGCTCATTTACCTTAATGGGACAGCAGCATCATAAACAAACTAAACTAATAAAGGTCTGACTTAGACTAGTAATTCCTACAAGAAGACCGATTTGATCCTGCAGTTAAACCTACTGTTAGGAAGTCCTCAAACAAAAACCCTATGGGGAAAAAAGGCTCGATTAGATACCAAATTTTTCAGTCCTGATAATAGCAACTAATCAGAATCTGTCAATTTTGTTCTTTACCCTTAGTTGGGGATTTCTTTTGGGGGTAGGAGAGTGGAAGGGGTCAAGTAGAAAGTGGATAAATGCTCTAGTCCAGTGGTCGGCAAACTCATTAGTCAACAGAGCCAAATATCAACAGTACAACGATTGAAATTTCTTTTGAGAGCCAAATTTTTTAAACTTAAACTATATAGGTAGGTACATTGTTATTAACTTAATTAGGGTACTCCTAAGGCTTAGGAAGAGCCACACTCAAGGGGCCAAAGAGCCGCATGTGGCTCGCGAGCCGCAGTTTGCCGACCACGGCTCTAGTCAAATAAAAGTTATCTACAAACAACTGCATTTATGACATAATTGCCATCCATGCTTGCCAGATGTTGCCAAGCTTCATAAGAGAAGATACCTGGACTTCCCCTGTCAGAATCCCCACTGTTTGAAGTCCATTTGAGGATTACCTACTTCCCTATTGGCCCAGTCCACCATACTGCCTTCCTGTTGCAAATGAGCTAGATGGTCATTAAGTCTGTATGGCTCCATACAACACAGATCAAACTGTAGAACTGTTTACAACTTCTGGAATATATAATTTTAGAGATGAAAAGGGCTAAAGAGATCACCTTACCCAACCCTCTCATTTCATAGAAGTCAAGGCCCAGAGAGGTGAAGTGACTTGCCCAAGGTACCACAGACAGTTAACTGTAGACAGAGGACTGGAACCAAGGTCTCCGCCTTTCTGTCTGGTCCTTTGCCCACTGCACCACACTATAATTTCAATACTTTAAATCATGGTTCTCTGAGAACTGTAAGCTTAAATTATTTCAGGCCTGGAGCTCCCCTCTGAATCCTGCCGGAGAGGATGAAGAACAGGACGCTGTCCTGAGGGAAGGGGGGGATAGGATCTTTTGGAAGAAGCCAAAATGTAAACTGTAGATTCTACACAGACACCCAATATACCAAAAGGCACTGCAAATTATACAGGGTGGGTTTTAAAAAAAAATGTTCTGGGTAAAAAATTCCTGAGATCCCACTGTAGATCTAAGTGGGTGGGAATACCACCACAGAAAGCCAAAGGCCTTAGCCACCATAAAAAAAATTCTTGCGATACATTTATCCAGCCCAGTACTAATGGGTTTCTTAAAAATGCTCTTTGATGATGATGATGATATAGTAGCCTCTGCCAATTCCTTTGATGAAGAAAGTCATTCTTTCAAGACCAATGCCAAGGAAACATACATTACTGATCAGCACAGGACAAGTCCTTCGAACAGCAAAGACCATTTTAATGACCAAACATATGCTGATGAGCCTCAAGCCTAAGTCAGGACTGCTTCACTTAGCAGGATATACGCTCACAAAAAAAGGAAACAGGGGTCTGAATATTGATTTTTTCATGTGAGAAAAAATCTTATGCCACCAGGTTTCCATAATTTTAGCGTAGGTTTCTATTTTCTAGGCTCCTCTGAGAAGCCCATGTAAACATCTCTATGCAATTCTCACACATTTGGGCAGAGATAGGAAATGATAAGAAAATGCTTGGAAGACTGTGTTGGCACAACTCAATCGGGAGTGGGACAAGTGAAGGCTGAGAACAAGAGCAGGGCAAGAGGACTGGCTGGGACCAAGCTACACTGCTTCCTCCAGCTTATCAAGACGCAGGCAGGAAACAGAAGCAGAAAAGAATGCCCAACAAGGAGATAGCAAGCCTCTGGATTCAAGGAAGAAGCCCTTCCAGGGACCAAGGAGAGCGGAACTCCCTCCTGAGAAAGGAGAAATGGCTGTCCAGGACAGGGATGGGGGAGGGATGCGCTTTTACAGGACACACACTCTGTAGCCAAAGGCTCCATTTTCCCAGGGATCGCTCTTCCTAAAGTTACCATCCTGGTCAGGCTTCTGCCTCGTCTGGAGGTCATCCAATCTTACTGCCAGTTTCTCCAGGTTAGAAAAGCAGCTTACATGGGCATCTGAATTGTAGGGGAGGCTGGCTAAGCTTCCCAATATGTTTCTCCTTTTGAACAACATCTCTTTAACTGCTAAGGCAGTAAAATAAATATTGAGATTTCCAAAGACAAGAATTATGTAAGTACCAGGGAAGACATCTTATTGAAGAAATTGGTGGGGGAGCCAAAGATACCATCGGAAAGTAAACAAAGTCAGAAACCTGACTATCCACTCTGACTCAAACCTCAGTTGCTACTCATCTCCTCCCCTCAGGGGCAAACAGCGATGGTATATGGAACAATTAAGAAAAGATTAAAATGGTTTATGATGTTTAAGAAGGAAGAAGGATTTTTTTAAAAAGAAGGAAAAAGAAATAACTGCTGAAAAGATTTTTACCAAACGGTACTACATTTTACATTCTGGATTGTATGTGATTATCTGAAAACACTCTTACGTTTGCTAAGCTTCAATGAAGTATAATGTGATTGTTAGAAGGGCAGACTCTGGAGCCAGACCACCCTGGGCAGTTACCTTGATTTTCTCACCTGTAAAAAGGGAATAATAATAATACTTCTTGAAAGGATTGTTGGGAGAGTTAAATGAGTTAATATACATAAAGCTCTAAGAACAGTACCTAGTACACAGTGAGTGCCATATAAGTGTCAATTATTATGATGATTAATCAAGAACTGTGCAAGACACTAGGATCTAATCACAACAGAGATCTGATTCCTGCCTTTGTGGAGTTTATGATCTAATAAGGGACCATAGGAGTCAAAGAACCAGACAAACAAAATGACAAATTGCAGTAAGTGCTATGAAAGAGATATACAGGGACCCATGAGAGCATAACAGGAGAAGCCGAGTTGGGGTTGTGGGATCAGTGTCAAAGGTTTTCCTGAAGGAGTGACATCTGATTTAAGATCTAAAGCAGTGGTTCTCAACCTTGGCTGCACATTAGAATCACCTGGGAATCTTTTTAAAATCCTGATTTCTGGGCCTCATCCTCCGGAAATTCTGTTTCTTTGTTACTAATGTTGTGGCCCCACCCCATAACAAAGAAACAGAATTTCCGGAGGATGAGGCCCAGAAATCAGGATTTTAAAAAGATTCCCAGGTGATTCTAATGTGCAGCCAAGGTTGAGAATCACTGATCTAAAGGAAGAGGGGGAGGAAGGGAACAGCCTGTGCAAAGGCCCTGAGACTGAAGATAATTTACTGTGTTTGAGGACCTAGTGGGCCAGTGCTACTGGGGAGACAAAGCAGAAAGGGCAATGGGACAAGGTGGGGCTGAGAAAGCTGGCCAAAGCCAAGTGTGTGCTCATACAGTGAGGCCACAAAAATCAGAATCTTCCCTGTGTGTCTTGTTACCTATGCAGCTCACAGAAAGAGAAGGAAGAGGTGCTGTACACAACCGTGCAAAGCAAATCTGGAAGAAACAAATGTTCCCCTAAGGCAGTGATGGTGAACCTTTTGAGCTCGGCGTGTCAGCATTTTGAAAAACCCTAACTTAACTCTGGTGCTGTGTCACATATTGAAATTTTTTGATATTTGCAATCATAGTAAAACAAAGATTTATATTTTTGATATTTTATATATTTAAATGCCATTTAACAAAGAAAAATCAACCAAAAAAATGAGTTCGCATGTCACCTCTGACACGCGTGTCATAGGTTCGCCATCACTGCCCTAAGGTGACGTTTGATACACAAGACACAATCTGTGTTCACACCCTAGGTGAGTCTTCCCTGGTGTTTTATTTTATACCAATGCTGGACTGATGCTGGTTTACAGCTGAGTATCACACACCAAAACTTCATGGGAAAGTTTGTAGTAAGACTGTTATATGAAGTATGGCCTATAAAGCAAACTCCAACACAACATCTTTTATGAGACTCTCCTCCGAGGGACTTCTCTGACCAGCCACCAGGCACGGATTTGGAGGCCCAAAGAGTGGAACATGCCTCCTGCTGTCCTTTTATCCACCGGGTGCTCCATCTCCCCAGTACCTGCGGTCAATTCCAGGCTCTGTTGCCACAGGAAGAGTAACCATACAGTAAGGCTGAGTTGTTGGATCACGGTCTCGCATTACTCATGCAGGCTGACAAGTTATCAATCTCTTCTAGGCACTCCCTGTTTCACACTTCTTCCTGTTGGCTGACTCGTCTATGTCCAACTTACTTGCTAAATCACTTACTTCAACCCCACTCCCGGGACTGGACTCTCTCTTTTAACCTACAGATGCACAGAAAGAAGGGCCCTGTTACGTATAAGGTACTGGAACCCCAAGGCTTATAACACTCCTGCCTTCAAGGAGTTAACCATCTAGCAGAGAAACTGTACAACACAAGGGGAAATATGGCAGGTTCCATAACCACGCCTCCTGAAGGCTGGCCTGGCAGTGTGCCCAGGCCCTGTCCAGGGCGATTCCCTATGATTCTGAGCCCACACTCCCCTGCTCAGGCCTGCTTGTCAATCCTTGGCCTATCCTGTGTTCACATAATTCCAAGTTAAAAAACCAAGAGTTCCTCAGGTATCCCCACAAGCCTGGCACATGCTCGACAGGTGATTTTGGGTGAACGAAGCTGAAAGATGAGACTGGGAACAGGGATATATGTTCTGGCTCAGGCTCTGGGCAAGTCATTAAATTTCTCCTGCCATCAGTATATGATTCTATGAAGGAGGAACACTGGGTTGGAAGCTCAGAAGTGTGATGAGCTATGATTTACCAGGCCCTCATCTCTCCTCAGGCTTTGCTGTAGATTCTTCTCCCCCTAACTGATCAAAACATGCCAAAACCCACCTGAGAATTTGAGAGTTTAGAAGTCCTGATGCCTCTGAACACAGTCATCCCCAATCCTGGTCTTTCAACATCTTGGTGTCTCCATGTATCTCAAATTATTGCAACATTGGCAATTAGTAATAATCTGATTCACTTTAAGGTTCAGGGTGGGGAAAAGAAATACCATAGAAATCAACCAATAATATGTGGGAGGAGGTAGGTTACTCCCAAGGACACATGCTATGGGCTATAAAACCAACCATCTCCTAAACCTAAACTGAAAGGGAGATCTCTATTCTTCTCCAAACCACAAATCAGATAAGTGACTGAACTTTACTCCAGTTCCAAAAGCCCCAGAGATTTCCAAATACTGAACCTTCAGATCAAGATGTCTTAGGGTTGGTTTTAGAAGCAACTGTGGTTTGGCTCCCAGTCAGTTGAAGAGCAAAACTACAGATAAACTTGTTCTTAATCTCTTATGTGTAAAGGAAACCGTTTTCTTGGTAAAACAAGACCACTGCAAGCGGAAAATGAACCCTAACAGAACTAGAGGATAAGGCCACTAGATTGTTCAGAGGTCAGCGATTCCCCGAAACTGGCTTTACATCTTTCATGCAGTATTTGAATTTGCCCGGAGATCTTATAAATCCTTCCCCCATGGAAGAAACTACTTAATGTTCTTTGAGTAACAACTGAGGTCGCTGAGATAACTGGCTGGCCATGTCCCGCACCTTGCTGTACCGCCAGGCCTTTCAACCTGCACCGGCTGCAAAGGCCTTCGGGCTGCGAGGCTGAGACAGATATCCAGTTCTCACAGAAAAGGGGAAGGTGAGTCTCACAAACTGTCCCCTCCTACAATTTGCTTCCAACACACACATTCTCACCCTGATAAGAAAGTTCTTTTTTGTTTATATGCTTCATTCTTGTACCTTAACTATCGGACTTACTCCTCCCACAAATTTCTTCCACACCCACACCACCCTGGCTACTTCACTCTGGCTACAGAAGGCTCTCTTAAAACTCAGAGATTAATTTCACCTGCAAGGGTGCTGCAATGGGACCTGGAAAGTAATACTGTTTTTATTCCTTAGGCATTTTGATATATGGAGAAGGTAGCAATAAGTAAGCTAAGTGTCACTTTAAATAATTCTAAACAGTGTGTAATTCAATAACTAAGTGTATTTGAATGTAAGGCCAATTATTAGTTAAAGTTGATTTTTTTAAATCCTTCCCCTTGGATATGTTCTTATTGATGTGTTTTTTTTGTTTTTGTTTTGCTTTGTTTTGTTTTTTAAGAGAGAGGAAGGGGGAGAAAGAGAGCAACATCAATATGAGAAAGAAACATTGATCGGTTGCCTCCCATATGCGCCCTGACTGGAAATTGAACCCCCAACGTTTTGGTTTACAGGACGACACTCCAAACAACTGAGCCACCTGGCCAGGGCAAAGCTGATTTTTTTTTTTAAGCAACTGGAATACTCACCAGTCTGGAATGACTTGCTCTTTTAAGAGTTGGGCAATCTTGGACTATATTAGAAACAAATACAATGCTAGATTCTCTATTCCTAGTTCTGCTGCTAACCAGCAGAATCTATCGATCCCAATTCTCTAAAAGATAAGCCCAGATAGAAAAAGAGACCAAGATGGCGGCATAGGTAAACACCGGAGACTGCTGCCGCAAACAACCACTTCAAAAATACAACTAAAAGACGGAACGGACATCACCCAGAACCACAGGAAGGCTGGCTGAGGAGAGACTCTTCAACTAGAAGGAAAAACAACAGCACACCGAGGCTCAGAGGAGGCGCAGTGTGGAAAAAACTCAGGTGCGGAGGTGCGCGCGCAAAGCGGGCTGGTGGCTGAGAGCGCGGTTGTCGTTTTCGGTCAGGGGGGAGTCTCAGACTCTGAGCTCCAGATACGGGCGAATCGCTGGGGACTCGGACCCAAACGGGAGAAGCGGGAGTGTCTGGCATCAGTTGGAAGGCAGCTTTCCCTCCGAGGTTTGCAGCGGTTCCGGGGGTTCTGAGAAGTCCCTGCGACCCGACTGACCCGCCCAAGCCCTGCGCAGAGCCATCTGCCTGATCGCCTCAGGCAAAGGCTAGATTAGCACCTC